GAATTCAGAGTTTGGGGGTCGTCTCACAAACTGTCTGTGGCCCTTGGACCCAAAAAGAACAATTTTACTCTCATCAGTCCACAAAATGTTTCTCCATTTCTCTTTAGGCCAGTTGATGTGTTCTTTGGCAAATTGTAACCTCTTCTGCACGTGCCTTTTTTTTTAACAGAGGGACTTTGCGGGGGATTCTTGAAAATAGATTAGCTTCACACAGATGTCTTCTAACTGTCACAGTACTTACAGGTAACTCCAGACTGTCTTTGATCATCCTGGAGCTGATCATTGGCTGGGCCTTTGCCATTCTGGTTATTCTTCGATCCCTTTTGATGGTTGTTTTCCGTTTTCTTCCACGTCTCTCTGGTTTTGCTCTCCATTTTAAGGCATTGGAGATCATTTTAGCTGAACAGCCTATAATTTTTTGCACCTCTTTATAGGTTTTCCCCTCTCCAATCAACTTTTTAATCAAAGTACGCTGTTCTTCTGAACAATGTCTTGAACGACCCATTTTCCTCAGGCTTTCAAATGCATGTTTAACAAGTGCTGGCTTCATCCTTAAATAGGGGCCACCTGATTCACACCTGTTATTTCACAAAATTGATGACCTCACTGATTGAATGCCACACTGCTATTTTTTGAACACACCCCTTTCAACTAATTGCCCAATTGCACAGCCTTAAGAGCGTGCATATCATGAATGCTGGGTCTTGTTTGCTTTCTGAGAATCTACTGCACCTACTGGTAACTTGTTTGCCATGTGCAATAAAAAATATACTAAAAACCTGGATTATTCTGGTTAGTCACATTGTACTGCTATTATTTTGAACAATACTGTAAAAGCTGATTAACCACCAAAAAGACATTAAAAATAAAATTCATGTCTTAAACATATTTCTTGGCCCCAATCATCGATTTACATTTCAAAAACTTCATGATTTCCACCTTTTCCTTCACTCCTCAAAAACTTAGATTCCCTTCTTCCTGAGCACAGTTTGCAAGCAAAACGCTCCAAAGATAACAGCAGACGTTGCCTTAACCTTCACACCTTCTATATGGATATATCAGCCTATTTTCAGAGCATATGAATATTTTATAAAGTTTTCTTCCAAAACTGATGCAATGATTACCGGTTAGGTTTAGCTTTTAACACTAGCTTTGTTTGACACAAAATTAAATGCAAATTTGTATTAATTTTAAAGCTAACTATTTCATATCCTTTGTCTCAAACATCAGTGCACTAAACACAGCAAAATACATAAACCAAACTCAAACGTGCATCTGTCAAAACATGTATTTTATTCATTTATCTTAAAAAATTAAAGTGCTTTTTATGTACAATATAATAAAAACAACTGTCACAATCTCAATGATACAAAAAATACTGTTCACAATGTTATTTGTACACAAACAAATAATAAAAAAGAGATCATGCAGGCAAGACCACATTTGTCTAATAGTTATTCAGTCAGATAAAGTGACAGTGTTCAGTATGTTGGAACTGATGTGGAGGATTTGGAGCTGTGCTTGCATGTTACTGCAGTACTGCAGCACAAATGTTCAATGTTATGTTATGTTATGTTATGCAGTTTCTCTATGGCTGTCTATATATATATATATATATATATATATACATATATATCTGACAAGATGTTGCAGCTTAAGCTAATTTAGGAAAACAGACTGTTGTAAATATGATGCATGGCTACATTCATGTCCAGTACAGTATGTTCATTGTTACTGAGGAGCCACTCAAAATGAAGAATCAGTCACCATGAGATCATTTGCTTTTTAATGAAAAGCACATCATTGATAAATACAACTTTATGACACAGTATTTACCATTTTAACATTAACTATTAAGGTCAGATTGTATTGTAGATTCAACTTTCTGTAAGAGGTTAAGTAGTGATATTATCGTTAAACACTGAACTGTTCAGAGAGGAGTTTCCTGTGCATGTGTTTTAGGACTTTTCACACAAGCAAAGGCAGAATGGGACAAGATTTTGAGCAGCTCCCAGACTTTCTGTTTGCAGCCAAAGTTAACTCTGGCTTGGGTGCATCTGTAAATCTACTGCTGACCCGTGTTGTGGAGTTACGTGCGCCCACAGAGGGCTACAATCACAATATTCACCACATTTCTGTTGGTGAGGTCACTGCTGGGTAGTTCAGGTATAATGTGGCAGGCAGCTAAAGGCAGAACAACTTGATGTCTGAAGGCATTTTGAAAATATTTTGTGAGGTTATTCATCAAGCATATCAAAGCAGGTTATTTAGCCACTGGAGACTGAATTGTTTAGAAAATCTTAGCGTTAGCAGAGGTGATAACACTCTACACTAAGACTTTTAGAATCTGATTTATTCTCACATTTATTAGCAAATGTAATACTCTGTAATTTGGTTAATTTCATTTCACAAAGCAAACAATATTAAAGGAAGAATTTGATATTGGGGGAAATACACTCTATTGCCAAGAGTTAGATTGAGAAGATTGGTACTAGTCTCATGTGAATAAACTACTTCTAACAGCTGGCTAACTTAGCTTAGCACAGAGACTGGAAAGAGTTAGCAGGGCTCTGTCCAAAGTTATCAAAATCCCCCTGCCAGCACTAATGAAAATGTATCTTCTTCTTTTTAAACCCCATACAAAAACCTACATGTAAAAACAACAACTTGAGGTTTTACAGGGGACGTTGTATGTCAGACTCTTTAAGCTCCACAAAACTAACTAGCTGCTGGCGTAGCTTCAGATTTGCCATTTTAACCACAATATTACATTTGTATCCAAATTATTCCAGATTTTCCCCAAATATCAAAACTTCATTTAATTTAGTAAGACAAAAAATAAAAACGTCTGCTTTGACAAACTTGATAACAATGTGGTGAGAAATGTGCTCTATTCTGTGTGATTACTCTTGAAAAGGTGAAGCAGAATGAAGAAAAATATCAGCAGTGTTCACTCTCTAGTTTCAAGACTATCTCTACAACACATCTTGCACAATGTCCCTTAAAAACACACAATATTAAGCACAGATACTTTATACACACACACACACAGCAAAAACTAAAGCAAAAATCAAAACACTGACTGCTGCGCAGTTGGCTATGTAGTTATTTTGTTAACCTGTCGCAGTTACATAGCATTTTGTGATCTGCTCAGTATTCAAAGTAGCAAAAGTATGATTTTCTATGATACTGGAATATATACTGTAGGCTTACTTGATCAATACAGCAAGTTAGTGATGTATTCTAAGACATTGTGCCATCCCTATGGCCACGTAAATGTTTCTCATTCAGAGTTATACAACATTATGAGCTCCCTACATCTTTGGAAAATTCTGCTTGTAAAGTCTCAAAAACCTAAGCAATGTTGGTGCATGACTGTAACGGCTGCACTGGTCCCTGTTATAAGTGATTGCTCAATAACCTTTGTCCTTAGCAGCCACACCTTTTATCTCTCGGTAGTTGCATTTCGTCAACATGCTTTCACATTAATGAGGCCTTGACATATGACCAACTGTAGTGAAAGCAATAGGTGTAAGAAATGTAACCTGGTGGAGTGAGGGCTGTATTGAGCTTATTCAGCACTCTCTGTGCATCTACATCAAAACATAGTGTAGCTGCAGTCTGGACAAGAGACCACTACATATTCTCTCTCCACTACAGCAACAGTTATTATTAGCTGGTCTGTAACTCTGACACTTTGAGTGGACATGTTAGGACTGTAAGCATTCATCAGACTTAATAGTCTGAAACTAGCTGTACCTGTATGTTTTAGTGTGAACACTAAGAAGGCAGATCATTTCTTTAAGGGCAACGGAAGAAAAACTGGAATATTTTCTCAACCGACAACCATACGACTAGTATCTCCATGCCATATCATTTGGCCCCAGAATAGATTTTACACGAATGTCATTTATTTTGCCTGACACAGTTTGAAAAAAAATTAATAAGCTAACAGTCTTGACAAAAATTCCACTTGCACTTCACATTTATTATTAGTGCCACTTTACTTTTGTGAAACCCAACTGTGGCTCCATCACCATGTGCTCTTGGACAGTGATCAGTGATAATACAAAGCATGAGATGGGAGTGGTCGTAACAGAATGGCACTATTGCATTTAAATAAGACCAGTTATTTTTTGTTTTTGGCACAGTGCACATGATGATTTTGGTGCTGCCTTAAACATGGTAGAGGCTTTGTGTTTGCAATGCCAGGTCTCTTTTCCATATTAGCTTCAAAAACAGGGCATTTACTATATGACTTAGTCACTTTATTACCCATCAAGGTACCTGCAGGACAATGTGTCTCAGATGAGCAGATGGATCCTCTACATTGTCCGTGGTACAGTTATGTGAGAATCAAACAGACCTTCTTTAAACAACAACAACACACATTCAGGAGGTAAATGCCAGTATTTAGGCTGTGGAGCAGAATTTATGATCTCATCTTTCATAAAGTTGCAGTTCTTCTCACTGTTGTTCCAACAGGTTTAAGCAAGCCCTGTTTAATCACGGTCTGGTGTTCTCTGCTGGCCTGCCTCATCTTTCACCGTCTTTATCCTCATACACTCATGACATTTATTCAGCAAAGGGGAACAAATGTTCATTTGACTCACTTCCATAATATGTGGATCAGAATGAACATGTAGTACACGTTATATTTTCCTCAACCTCTTAGCCACCATGTACTGTAGTTGTAGCTTGGTTCTGCTGTGCATAATAACAGAACTCTGACAGTCATCTCTTGCAGAGCATGTGCATGGCTAAACATAGTCGAATAGGGCTGGACAACACAGCAATAGTCATAATTTACTATTTTGTTTGTTTGTTTTAATAACATGTGATGGACATCAACAAGACAGTTTACTGTTGGATCTTGCATATGTAAGAGATACTCTGATATATATTGATAGAGGAGGAAGGCTTTTCATCCATATTGTCCAGCCCCACACTCTCACACACATGCTGTTAGTGGCCATGAAAATGACACAGAACAAATTTCTGTTCTTAGCAGCTGCCATGGTTTGGTGACCCTTGTTGAACTCTCTAGTCAAACTCCAGCGTTGGCATGTAAATGGTTAAATGAAATGACCTCCGCACTGATCACAGAACAAAGACAACTAAATAAAGGATGAGCCGTGATGTACCTCGGGGTCTCCTCTCTTTGCTCGGTGGCCTGTATCCTTCATGAAGGTACAGGGTGGCATTGTTTAGCTTATACTGTGCTCTCATACGATAGAGTCTTTGATCTCTGAACCTAGCCTCACTCTGGGCCGAGGGCAAGTTGGGGAGTACTCCACGTGGCTCTCCTTCAGGTTAAGTGGCCGCCTGTCGGAGGATTCTGAGAAGCTCTTGCTGTTGTCTGGCGAGGACTCGTGCATGGGCGTGCTGCAGATGTAGTTGTCATTTAACGTCTGGTAGCCTTTGTGATCTGATGTGGAAACAGGGATAGTGTTACCATTGAGGGGTAAGCTCTCAGCAGGCTTTCCCACTATCCTTGGTTTCTTCTGCTGCATGTTAGGGCACTCGCCCTGCTTCAGCATGGACTTCATGTGGTCACGGTTCCTGTAGATGACAAACAAGGAGAACACCACGAGGGAAAATGCCAGCAGGGTGCACACCACAATCAGTTCATTCCAGTAGGTCTTCGTGTGGACCTGCTCAGAACGAGACTCGCCGGGCAGAATGATGGTCTCCTCTTGCTTAATGTGTGGTGTGCGTGAGTGACCAATCAAAGTAGTACTCTCCTGGCGGGGCTCTGCCCTCACACAATAGTTGGCCAACAGCTGATGGAAACCTTCCTCCTCAGACCAGCACTCATAGGTCTCCATCCTGTAGGCCTGAGCCACCACTACCAGGTTTCCCTCAGGAGTAGCATAGAGGAACTGGCTGGCACTGTCACGGTAACGCCACCTCCTCTTTGCCAGGTTGGACCGCAGCTTACAGGGCAGGACTCTGAATGTGTTGGCTGGGATTGTGATGAGCTGGCAGTGGGTGCCACCTATATAAAAAAAAAGAAACAAAAAAGCAAGAGAACTGTTACTTCAAAACACTGATAGATCTCATTAAAAATATATGAAATAAGCCTAAATTAAAGAAACAGTTAAACATTTTGGAATAAAAGCTTACTCATTTTCTTCTCAAGAGTCAGAGGGATTCAGGGATCAGAGTATTGCTAACACTGCAATGAGTTTGTCAAATGTGAAGCTACAGCTAAGAGATGTTGGCTTACCTTAGCATCAAGACTGGAAGCATGCTAGGGAAACGGCTAGTGTGGCTATGTCTCAAAGAAACAAACAGCGCCTGTAAAGCTCACTAATTAAGATGCTTCATCTTTTTTCTTAAATCTGGTCAAAAACCAAAGGCTAAAATAAAAAAATAAAAAGTTGTGGTTTTAGGAAAACGTAGTCTCTTTGAAGAGAGCACAGCGAGCCGTTTCCCTCTGCTTCTGGTCTTTAGTCTAAGCCGTCTTCTAGAAGTAGCTTCATATTTAACAGAAGCATATGACAGTGCTATTGAGCTTCCCATGTGCTGTTAGTCTTGGCAAGAAAAAAAAAAGTAAATGTGCAAAAATGTTAAAATATTCTTTTGAAATTTTAACAAATCATTTGTACAGGTGGTTAACTACAGTATATTGTACAGTTTTTAGGTTAAACTATAATTTAAACGAATGAGCAACAGTAATAAGTGGCTCCAAATTCCTATTAAGAGAACCTAATGTTACCCGTCATCATACTGTAAGCTTCTTCTCACAGCTCTGTGCACATGTTGCACTGGTGTAGATGAGGTGACTGACAATACTTTAATTAAAGGCTGCTGCAGAAAGAACACACTCACGAGAAGCTGCTGGTCTGGCAGATCTGGTGCTGGGAAACGTCCTGTTACAAATCGCTGACGTATCAGCCTCCTCCACATCCTGCTGCCAGTGGCTGGAACACAACGTACCAAACAAAACAGGGTGAGGGTTAACAGCTGCAATGAGAGGACCCTTGTATGGATGCACTTGCTTTGCTCTCCCAAAGCCTGTTATTATAACATCCATAAATAACCCCATCAGCATGACTAAGTCTTTTAAAAGATACTTGCTCAAGTAGTGTATTTCAAACTATGCCACTAAATTATTTGCATATGAGCTCTCACCTGTCAGGCGGAGCCATCCTGACATCCCGACACAGTCGCCCGGTCCAGGCGCAGTAGGGGTCTCTGGACAACACGCACTCTCCACAGCTCAGGTAGTTGGAGCAGTTGGCCACAGGAACCTCGACCAGCCCCGAGTAGGACGACACAAACAACAGACCCTGCAGACGAGAAAAACAACGTGCCCTAAAGATACAGATTTCTCATCAAATGGCACCACGTCTCAGAATACACAAGGTTGTGTACCTCTGATTCCACAAAGGGAAGCCGTGCTCAAACAGTTACCCAAGATAAACAGAGCAATATACCCTAAACAAAGGCCTAACTCAGGCCAGCTGCTCTCATACTAGATGACAACTGAGTAATTTGATTGTGGTCTAAAACACATGGCAACCAGGATCACAACAGTTACTACAAAGCTTGGTGTTGATGTTTTATTTATTCTTTTGTATTTTAACATGCATCTACACAAATACATTTTCACTACATATGTGACATTACTGCAGATGCACAGTGAAATGCAAAAAGACAACTATATATATACATATATATACACACACACACACACACACACACACACACACACACATACACACATACACACATACACACATACACACACACACACGCACACATACATATATCAGGATATTCTTAGCTCCAAATAGGGATATTAGATAGACATCTTGTGGATTGTGTCTTCATCTTTCACATCCCTATTTGGAGCCAAGAATATACTGACAGAAAGCATCTTGGACTTTATTAGAATTATATAATCTAAGATAAGATTGCATTTTGGCTGCTTTGGCTCAGGGATAGGCTGTTGTGTAATAAAGAAAGAAAAGGTAATGAAATTTAGTTGTGGGTAAAATGCCAGAGAGGATCATAAACTCCGTTCCAGATGGTGGTATAACTTAGAGGAAAACTCCAGCCCCTGCAGAAAGAAATATCTGTAGCCAAGCTAGAGTTCCAACAATTGTGTCATAAATGTGTATTAAGCTGTATAAAATCTATTTGAACTTGTTTCTGGATTAGCTTAATGATGACAGAGTTGTGACTTACCCTCTGAGGATCAAGTTCAATGTGTTGCACAGGCTGAGGCTCAGAAAATAGAATAATCTCCTCTATGATGTGCATCTTATCATTGACATTGATGGCCTTATGGAGCTTTCCATCATCTGGAAGACAGAATGTGATATTAGTGACTTCAGTTGAAAGCTTGGGGCAGTTTGTGGAGAAAAGAAGCAAGGTCCGCTGTTACAAATCAAACACACCAAAGTGTATTTTCATTTGCAAACAGTAGGAGTATATTATAGCATCTTATTTTTCCCTTTTAAAGATTTCAGATTAGCTTTGCATAGCTGTTTGTTGTTTCAATAAATCGTACCGGTTCCAATGAAGAGCACATCATAAGCCCTCTCCATGCCCTGGATCTTGTGCACGGCAATCTGCGTGTAGTGCACACTGCGTTTCAGTAGCAGGGGAGCACTGCGGATCACGCTGTCCATCAGGAAATGGTCCTTGACAAAGTTGAGGACTTTATCAGGCATGTGCAAAGACGACTGGATACCCATTTGCCTAGCATGGTTGGTCACACACTGTGTGGGAGTAAATTAGAAATGAAAAATCAATACATTATTAAATTAGTACAGGAAATACAAACATACAAGGAGATGAGGATTGTATTGACAGGTAGGTCTAGCACGTCCCAGTGCGGTGAAGTATCATTGGAAAAACAGATTAAGTACAACGGCTATATACACAATAGTATACCTTGAAACAGCTGAACTATGGTTTTTAAAAAAGGAATTTCTACAAACTTTTACTCTTTAGGCATTTGTTTTTCTCTAGAGATTTATGAAGTCAAGTCAAGAATCTTTATTGTCATTATGCATAGCACCATGAAATTTGTTCCGGCAGCTCTCGGATTAAAAAAAACATTATTTACATAACACACAATTGTATGTCAAAATAGAAATATGAACAAATAAAAAGGGATGTATGGGACCTAATCAGGTCAGCAGCATGTTAGCAGCAAAAGAGTGTATTAACATTATGAAGAGTTAAGCATCAGCAAGACAGCATTATAGGATTCGTTCTTGAAACAGGCAAAGGAAGT